CTTCCTTTCCATTCATTCAATTTTACATTGTGAAGAAATGACCGAGAAACTAAAATGTTCATTAGCAACATCTTCTAGACATAGATTTGTGTTTGATGGCTGAAGAAATCCTTGCGCCATCCAAAGTTTAATCAATGACTCTTTGTCAATCTCATAATCTTTGGGAAACAATGCACAATAAGCGAAAAATTGTTTCAAGTGTGACGAGAGATGGTCATAACTCAATTTAAGAGTTGGTAGGATATCACTTCCTTCTTGATCTATTTTTGAAAATTCTTCTTCCATAAAGCACAACCTATATGCTTCATAATTTATTGTAGTATAGCAAACAACTTGTTGATGCCAAAATTCGTACCAAACATGGGATTACAGTCTTGCCCTATGGTCTATGATAATCTTCCCATTTTGCCCTTGGATTGATGTCTCTAAGGGTTGAGGTTAGGTTTCACTTGGAATGCTTAGTAAGAGGCTCTTCTATATGAATTATTGTATATCATTCCTTGTCATTAGCCTCCTTTACATAGAGAAGTTGAGAGAGTTTTAGGAGAATACTTTCCGTAGCGGAATAGGAGATCAAGTAAAAAAAGGAATGTGAGTGTTTTATGAGAAGAAAAATGCTAGCCTTACTCACTTCTCTTACTCACCTTTGTTTGACATATGATACCCGTACTTTGCATATGATACCCGTATTATGCTTTATATTTATAAAAGTGAGTAAGAGAAGTGAGTAAGGCTAGTATTACTCTTATGAGTATATGTGAAAAATATCAAGAACGAGAACTACAAGTTGGTGAGAAAACTGATGGAAACTAAGTGTGCAGACTTGAGAACCAAGAACAATAGAGGCCTCACAACTCAAGACATCTGCGAGTCCGACTGGAATCTTTCTTATAGACAGGTTTCACATTAAATTTGAATTCGACTTTTTATTGTCTCTCAACTTTCCATTTCACCTTCATGGATTGCTGAAATTATTTCTCTCCTATTCTTGATATTATTGCAGAATTCTCTCCATACATACCTGAGAGGGAAAAATGCGCCACGAGGTAGACAGCCCTATAATTATTGGAAGCGTGATCAAAAATCAAAGAATGCATTAAACCACCCTAACGCAGACTTAAATTAGCCAACACAATGTCAATGGTTGCTGCCCTTCTAGCAACTTTAACTTTCGCTGCGGCTTTTACATTACCAGGAGGCTACCATACTGTTGATAGTGACAAACCTCCTTAAATAAAGCATTCAACAGATGATAAAAATAAACCCGAACTAGGTACCGCAATCCTCATAGAGAAATTATCACTTAAGGTATTTGTGTTGGCTGATTTACTTGCAATGTGTTCTTCCATGAAAGTAGTGTTTCTCTTAATTCTAGCAATGGTTGGCGATCCTGCCTTCTTGCGCTCAGCAATTTTTTATAGCAAGAACTTGCTGGATATCGCCCTTTCCGGAACGTTGGTCGCCTTTATAACTGGATTGTACACTGCAATATCACCAAAGAGTGAATGGTTTGCCATCATTGTCGTCGTCATAGGCTCCAGTGTTCCATTTCTCATCAAATTTTTGCACCGGAAGTCTTCCACTTCAAACCCTCTTGTTATAAAATATGTCAAGGGAACAATGAAGAAACCCGTAATCACCTACAGCCCTGGAAGAAGGCGTTCAAATCTTAGTTATGGATACGTCAAGCCAAATCACCTCACTGGTACCATTCTATTTGATATAATAACTCAAGGCCATTTTGTTTTCTTGTTTTAATGTCATGCACCCGTCTCTAATCTTTCTTTTAGGATCTTGTTTTATTAAGTTTTATTAGTTATATATTTGTAAAATATAATTTAGATTATAACATGATTGCTAATATGTATTTTTTTTATATGATCATTCAATGTGTTAGCGTCTTGCTTTCATTGTAATCATTTAAACAATTTGTTAATTGGGATCCTTGTAGAATCTCGTTTTCATTGTTGATTAAAAGCGTGAGATTTGGATAATTGTTTATGTACTCTTTCATTTCACAGAAAATTTAAATATAGTTTTTGGTTTTTTCGAAAAAAAAAAAAGAAATAAGAAATTTTATGAATGAAATGTTTTCAATTATAATTTTTTAAAACAATTTAAAAAAACTGCTTTTCTTAAATTTTGAAAACTATTTTTAAAATATCATGTCAGATATTAAAAATAAAATTATTTTGCAATCACAAACGGCTAATTTAAGTTTTTTTCAAAGCTTCAGTGACTTTATCTATTAGTTATTTTCCTACTCCAACTAGGAGACATGCAAGTGATATTCTGTAACCGTATTTCAAAATTTTAAAAAAAAAAAAATCTCAAGTAGATCCACATATCTTTGTCTTTTTCATTCACAGCCTTGATATTTTTTAATTTCTCTTACCTATCAATCATTTTCTACCAAACAAAAATATTCACTTTCTCTTCCTTCCTCCCTCCAATAATGAGGACTTTATTTACTCTCTATTCTCTCATCTCTTTCTTTGTAAATCGTCTCTTTCGTTATAAGTTGCAGCTTCGTTTTCTCCTTCTCCGAAATTCTCCAAATTTCCGCCGCCGTGGTCCTCGTCCTCGTCGTGTTCCGAGTAGTGTGTCGTGGCGGATCCCACGCGCCGTACGCCGCGAGTGAGCTGAAGTTGGCGTTGCACGACGCTTTGGACTCTACTGGAATCGATGCAACCTATGCCCGAGTAATCATTCTCCTTTCTTTTTTCTTTTTTCAATCAATTTTGATTCTTTTATTGATTTATGTTCATCCTCTAATTGTGATTTTTATAATTTAAGTGATTTCCCTATCTGGGTTTGTTGGTTTTTGGAGTTTTTCATAATGGGTCTTGTTTATTTATCATGTTAACGTGTCTGTGTTTTCATGAATTTGGATGCTTTTATTGAGTATTTATCCTCTCTGTGTGTGTGTGTGTGTGTAATTTTAGTGCTTATCTATCTGGGTTTATTGAGTCAGATTAATGTTTATATTGTGCTTTTGCTATCCGGGTTTGTTGATTTTTGGTGCTTTTCATTGTTGCTCCTGTTATATTTATAATCTTAGCATGTCTTCTTTTCAGCAACTTTGGTCCTCTTAATGAGCCAGATTGATACTCTTCATATGATTCTATATAATCTAAGTGACTTTTTCCATCTGGGTTTGTTGATTTTTGGTATTTTAGATTGTTGGTCTTGTGTATTTCTTTGGTGATATCATAGTGAAGTCATGTTTATAATATTAAAATGTCTGTTTATCATGAAGTTTGATGCTTTTCTTTTAGTCAGATTAATTTTTATCTTCTTATTTTGCAAAGTCTAAAAGTTTTTGTTATTTGGGTTTGTTGACTTTTCATGCTTTACGTTGTTGGTCTTGTTCTGTATTTCTGTGGGTGATAATATTGAAGCAACATCGTATTTATAGTATTTAGTCTCAAATTAGCAACATCATTTTAGTAATATATAATGCATGACCCATAGGCCATAACTGTTACTGTTTTCAGATTGTCTGGGGCCTGGATCTTAATAAGCTAGTGTCAGAGTGGTCTTGTACTTATGTAATTTCTAGTTTCCATATTATATTGTAGTAGCCAAATCTAATCCTCAAAAAATGAAATGGGCCCAGATCGTTTCACAATTTCTACTTCTGGAATGGAATTTATTTGGAATCTTTATCAATAGAACCTTGGATATAAGCAAATTTGGATATTATCTCTTTCACATGATCTTTTGTATTTAAGGGTTCTGGTTTCATTGTCATTACAGAACTTTCATTATTGAATTTGGTTTATCTGTGGAAGTCTAGAATATTGGTTTATAAGTGCTTTTATGGTAAGAATTACACGTGAAAATGACATTCCTATATAACAAATTACTAGGTAATATTCCGTTTAGTCAAGAAAAGAGGCGAATCTTTAGAAGTTAAAATCTTTTATTAATGGATTTTTAATCTTATTCATGAAAGATCCTTCAATGACTGAAGAATTTGTTGAAGGTTAACGGCTAAGACTTCTACACAATGTTTTATTATATACATACATACGCACACACACAGAGAAAATAAGAAAAACACATTTCAGTTATATTTAGAGACTTTTTTTTTTCATAAAATAGAAAATTTCATTTTCATCTTTAACAAAGAAAAGACAAAGAGATAGCTTGTGCATTCACACACACACACACACACACACACACACAGAGAGAAAATAAGAAAAACACATTCAATTATTTTTGGAGACTTTTTTTTCGTAAAGTAGAAAATCTCATTTTCATCTTTAACAAAGAAAAGACAGAGAAAGCTTGTGCATTGTTTTCTCCAGGGTTCATTTCTCAAAACCATTAGGCACTTTTGAGTTGTAAATATTTTTAAGATTATTAAGAATTTTTATATAAGGTATTCCACAGTTGTATGTTTAAAATATATTGTTCTCATTTTCAAAAAAAATAAAAAAACTTTGAATGCATTTCATTGTTTTCATTTTTTGAAGTCATTTTGTCAAAACATTTTCTTAAAGCAATACGAACTGGCCCCTAATTTTTTTGAATAAATTTCGGCAAAAGGAAACAAATGTGTTTTAGAGGACTCATAAGGACATTCCAATGAGACAATTAACTATAATCTGGCGAATCTTAATGACTGGGTTTAATGAAGGGTTTGAACCTAATTTACCCAGAAGGACTTGTTCATTGACTTAAGTATCATTTATCTACTACTGGGTTAAAGGCGTGTTAATTACTTTTCTTAGTGAACCAAGATTACTGTTTGCTCAAATTGATGTGCATCTAAAAGGATGAAAGAAACAAAAACAAAAAAGTAAATGTTTATTAAATTTGTGCACCAGTTAATTTGTGTTTTGCCATTGTTTTGACCAGAAAAACATGTTTGTGCTTTCTGATTATATCAGTGGGATGAGTAAATTGAATAATATGTTAACTACTTTACATCTCTTTATTCTATATGAAAGTTAAAATTCGTTAATTTTAATTCTTTTTTGATGTTTAAACAGGAGGCGAGAGAGGGTTTTTGCTCTCAGATCAATAAATTATCCAATATTGAAAGGCAAATTAGTATTAGCATTAATAGATGTGTTGATTTGGGGAAAACAGCTCTTCATATAGCAGCAGAGGATGACTCCCTGATATCACATTCATCAGCTCCTCTCCCTGATATAACTCATCTTTGAAATCATCACAAGAAATTTTTGTGGATATAGTATAGAGAGATATTTGTTTGATAAAAAGGTTGGTATACATGTTTACAGTGGTTAATTTAGTATTCTTGCTATTGTTTTCTAAGCTAATCTTTTTGTTTTACTCAAATAAAAGGAAATGCAGTGAAGGAAGGAGTACATTTTTGTATTTTTATGGCACTTAGAAGTTTACATAGTGTAAGTGGTCAGCAAGTTAGCATTATCATGCATGTTTGTGTTGTGTGTGTGATCTCAGTAATGCTTTTTCACTCATAGCTAACTAAGTCCATTTGAACTGGTCCTGAGATACACATTAAAGTACCAAACATGTAATGTAGTGGATTTGTAATGATTTTTGTATAGTTCCAGAATCCCTTCCGCTGGGAGTCATTTTGTACTCTTGTGGAATCTGATCTAGTAATTTAATTTCTATTGAAATACATCTAATCAGCATCCTATCGGAAAAATTGAATAAAATAAATTTGCAAACATGAGGAATGTCCTAATAAGTGTCTCCCCTGCTATGTACTGAATGATGTGAAGAGTTCTTCATAATCTTCATGTGCTTCTGTTTTCTTTTATATGAAATCCAAAATGTGTTTAATAAACTTTATAATGCATCTTCAGGCATTGGAGCTTTCTTATACCTGATTTGATGATTCATGTTAGGGTTCTTAGAGAACCAGTGTGAGGAATCAAATAGATCCAAGAGTGCTATATCTTCAGTTAGTATGGAATTCTTTCTTCTCTCAACAATTCTATATTCCTCATTGGAGAAAACATTATCATTAGGGTATTTTTCAGTTATTTATCTTAACATCATGAGCAGGTTTTGACACAGCGCTTGTGCTCTGCTGTTATGCTATCGCTTATATACTCAGAAATCCTGAAAATGCTTCACTTATGGGACCTTGTAGATTTTGATGTGGCGATAGCATTCCCTCTTGACCATGGTCTTCCTAGGGGATATCAGAAGCAGAAGAGCAGAGAATCTGATCAGCCACACATTATGACTCTGCAAATATTGTCGGAGGAGGTACTTTTGTATACTTGCTCACATTTGTATTTTTTTCTTTCCTGTATTTAGCAAACCTCAAGTCTGTTAAGCTGGGATACTAGATATATGTTATTTGGTATTTTTTTTTTTTTTTAAAAATGAATTCGAAAATAAAAATAAGAAGTTTGATTTTGTGTTCTCAGAATTTGAAATTGTGTTAATAAAATGGGTAAAATATTTATTTTCTGAAAACAGTACCTGAAAATAAAAACAGTAAAAATGTGTTTGATATCAATTTCTTATGATAAATATAAAATTTAGAGAATGAAAGGACGGAAAACATCTTTTTCAAGTTTTGTGTTTTCAATTCTTAAATAAAGATTGAATTCTCCATTTTTCCTATTTTCTTTTTACAAAGGGTAAATGGTAGGTGAACAAATATCTGTGTCATGATAGCTTTTTTCTGGAACCAATGAGCAAATCAATTGTGGAATCATTTGTGTTGGAAAATCAAGGGTTATATTTTCTCTCCCACTTTCAGTTTGTTGCATTGCTAGATTTTTTAGGAAGACCAATATGGTACTGTGGAACTAAAGTGAATAATTTGCAATTAGCATATGACAAATTGCATTTGGGAAATTAAGGAAAGAAGACTGAAGACCCATGATGGTACTTGAATGTGTACACTTTACCCGTGGAAATGTTACAAAGGATTTCTATTATGTTTTGTCATATATGAGTTAATTGACTTTGGGAATGATTATTGATTTTTGTGTTTCCTTCTTTTTTTTGTTCTCACAGTTGGATCATCATACTTAGATCAGGGATTCAATCAAAGAAAAAATGCAATATGGTGCTGTTTTAGATCAATGTTTGCGTAATAGTTTCTTTTACTGATAATTGTCAGTTAACTAATTTGATAATGCATATAATCTAATTTTTCAGAAAGACAGCATGTTAAATATTCACAAGATTCATGAAATTCATATGCATTTATGAGACTATTGTACGTAATTCCACTTTAATGCGTTTGAATTGAAGTTAAGCTTAGAGATTCATTTATATTTTGCAACATTAATAATGCAAGATATATGCAGGGGTTTATTTAAAAAAAAAAAAAAATTAAAATAGAGTAGAAAAAGAACATCATGAGGGACATATTCAAGGCTAGCACTAGATATACAAAGAGATTTAAATTAAAGTTTTCCCCGGAAATATGCATTTTGAGAAAGCATAGAATTGTGATTTCGTGTGAGTTTAGCATATCATTGCCGACATTCTCAAAATGTTTTCATATAAGAAAAAATATCAAATAAGCTCTATGCAATTGAGTCTTGTTTGGATTCTTTGTGAGATGTTCCTGTTTACATTCACTGCATTGCTGCCATCTTTCAGGTTCTTATTTGGTTTATGTGGCAGTGCCTGCTTCAGTTTATATTGCTTACAATGCTGTGCAGATTTTAAGGATTTAAAGAGAGCTTTCTGGCCATTTCAACATGATTTCTCCCGGAGTTTATTCTTAAGGGCAGCACTGCTGCTAGCTGCATTAGCGATCAAACAGTGAAGACAGGCAGTTAAACTATTGCAAACTGATCTGTGATTATATGAAAACTCTATGTAGTTTTTATAATCTCAACTGAGATTTCTTTCTCCCCTCCTTCCCCCTTTTGGGCTCTATTTATTCTGATTTCATTATTTTTCTAGTGCAGTGGCTTGCAGCTTGCATCAGCAAAGGCTGCCAAACATAGGTTAGACCGTGGTGTTTGGACCGGTGTACGCTTTGGATATGAGACGTGCATTAGCTGGTATGTAATTGTAAGTAATAGATGTGTTTAGCATATTCTTTTTGTACTTACGCTGATTATGCAAATGTGAGAAAAAAACAGATACATTTGGCTGCTGTTGTTGGCATGTTTTCATGTAAAGCCATAGCGATTGAAGTAAAAAAAATATAAAAATTTACAAAAGTCAAAAGTTAATAAATGAAAAAAAAAAAAAAAAAAGGGCCATAAATATCCCATCTTTGTCTTCACAGCAACAAATCTTCATCTTCCCCACAAACAAACCAATCCTCACTTTCCATCAAAATCTAAACATTACAAACAATTCACCAACATTGAATTATCTAATTGTCTTAAAAAACACAAATTAACAAGTAAACCACAAACAATAATTAATTTCAGGTTTTTTTTTTTTTTTTTTTTTTTTTTAATGAGTTGGTGTCAAGGGTAAATGGATCAATTTGGGAGTGAATTGGATTGGTGGCGGAGCACGCTTGCAGGCTGTTGAGCCTAGCCTTGCAGCAGTTCTTAGTGGTAGTTTGCGGCCTTGCAACAGCTGTTCATGGCAACGCACCCACAGTGCTGCTAGAGCGGCTTCATGGCCTTGTCGGCGATGCCAGGACATGGCTTTGCGGCCTTGGATAGTAGCATCCATGGCCGCTTGGAGGCTGTTATTGGAATTAACTTGAATGTGAGGTACGAGTTTTTAAGTAGGGTTTGGAGATGTTGATAGATTTCAGGTGTTTAAGGTTTATCGAGGCTAGGGATTGGATTACATTGAGGGTCTGGAATTCCACAGTGGAATTATTTAATTTTATTTTGATTTTAGGTTTAAAGTGAGGATCAATTGACTTTCTTTTTTATGGTTTTTTTTTATCGAATTATTTATTTTATATAAATTTAAATGAGTTGTAATTAATTGACAAATTTGGTTTTATTTTAGAATTAGGGGTAAATAAGAATTTCACTAAGGTGACAGATTTCATCAACTCTAACAAATGGTAGTAGTCAAGGCTATTTCTAGTACCAAAAGGGTTTATTAGAGTTAGGGCATACCTCAGGGGGGTTGGGTGTCATTTCGATTCATTTTCTGTCATATCACTTTGTTAAAAATATGTAGATTTTTTGTAAATAATTTTTTTGTAGTGTTGGAGTTATTAGAGTTAGGGCATCCCTCAGGCAGTTTAAATAATCCTCTTTGGAATATATATGTTTGGGGAGATGCTTGGAATATTCCTCGGATTTGGTATGACTAAAACAACTATGTTTTATTGATTCTAATCAGCTGTAACTTATCTTAGATGAACAGAAAATTTATTTCTGTAATTTTTTAAGTCTTTAGTCTTGACACTAGCTAAGTGAACTTGACTAACAAAACTTGAGAACTTTGCTTCAAAGAGTCCAAATTTCACCAAGAAAAGACTTGAAAAATGGACATGGCATTTATGTTCCTACAAATATAACTTAAACCCAAACTTCATTCAAATTCCAAATTTCTCATCTGAAATAAAAAATTAACATTTAACATGATTACATGATCTCTGTTCAAATATATTGAAACCTATTGAAATCGAGAATTTCCATTGCTCAAATTAAAATGTTAATGCATCTAACATAGACAAAATAAGTGTTAAACGAAAGAATAGCATATAATAAACAAAAGCATGATATTTTATCACAAAATAATTAGGATCCAAACTTGGAATCCTACTCTACGTACTCTCTATAAATTAATTACATAATAAGATTATTGTTAAATTTTCAATTTCTTGGACCTGCTGTTCCTCCTTCCCTTCCTCCTTTTCTTTGGTGCTGAAATATATGTGGATTCTTCCTTCTCAGCTTCTTCATAGAATAAATTAACCCCGTACTTATAATCACAATCAAAATCCAAAACAACAGAGCCATTCCCTAGTTCATTCCACTCACATTCATCTCTTTTCTGGAAGTCCATATTGATCATGACTAGATGATCTAATGTCAGATAGCAGTGTTCAAATATATTGAAACAGATGGGAGGCCACCGTGGATTATACCTCATCTTACCTTGTTTGTCTTCAATCACACACGTAAAACCAGTGGGAAATTGTTGAGAGTTTGCTACAATGCACAAATCAAAGGATATTGATTTATAGTTCGTAAGATCTGCTAGTAGCTTGAGTGTTATAGAAGATCCCATATTTTGAAAGCTATACCAATTCGGAATTTCATTTCCAGGGAAACAGCCAAGAAACAATGATTCTGAACATAGTTGTTAGTATTCTACGATACGATTCGATACAGGTCGTCAACGATATGTATCAGAGAGTATATCTTAAACCTTTCGATACGTTGATATGTATCTTACGATACGATACGTATCCGTTCGTATTCTTAAAAATATCAATATAGATCAATACAACTTTATTAATTTCAAAAAAAATTTCGGATCGAAACCGGGTCACCCAACCCGATTCACTAAAACCTATCCAAATTTACCCATTTTGCATGGAGAAAGTTAAGAGGAATATGTGTTACCCATTTTACATGATAATAATAATATAAGTGGAGATATAAATATTGACATTGATCTTGGAAATGATATGAATGATTGAGAGAAAATAATATAAATTCTTAATTTTGTGATTAATTTTGATTATGTAATACTATAATTTAAAGCCAATGATACCACAAAATTCTTTATTTAACTTGGGAATGATATTAATTTTTTAAAAATTTTGATTATTTTATTAATTTTTTTGAAAAGGGCATATCCTACTATACGATACGCGATACACGATTTAAAAAATTAGGTTTTCGATACATGATACGATACGTGATTTGACAACCATGATTCTGAATACTTTTACCTCTACACCAAGAAAGTCACTACTTTTTAAGAAGTAGGGCAACAATTAAATTATATACTACCCAAAATAACACTTCAAAATAAGATAGAAAATTATTCCTCAACCTAAAACTACCTTAAAAATAAAGTTAATTTTTACATATAAATATATACCTTCGGCTATTTATAGGCGGTGAAAATATTCTTGGACTCACACTCTTCATCTAAGTACCAATCTACCAATTGTTAAACATTTTTCTTTTTAAACTTGAGAATTTTGCTTCAAAGAGTCCAAATTGCAAATTTCTTCACTGAAATCTAAATTAACATTTAAGATGATCTCACAAAAGACTGCAGCTTCTATATTTATACTCTGTTCAAACCTATTGAAATAAAGAATTTCCATTGCTGAATTTAAAATGTTAATGCATCTAACATAGACAAAATAAGTGTTAAACAAAATTGATAAAAAAGAATGGCATATAATAAACAAAGAACAAAACAAAAGCATGATATTTTATTACAAAATAATAATTAGGATCCAAAGTTGGAACTGCTGCTCCTCTTTCCCTTCCTGCTTTTCTTTGGTGCTGAAACTTATGTGGATTCTTCCTTCTCCGCTTTTTCATAGAATAAATTAACCCCGCACTTTTTCACCTTGCAGCATCTTTTACCTTTACACTTATAATCACAATGAAAAGTCAAAACAACGGAGCCATTCCCTAGTTCATTCCACTTACAGTCACTTCTTTGTGGATGCGAGCATTGGTCATGAATACATGATATTAGATTGTAATGTCCAATTACATGGTTTGCTTTGAAACCGAAGAAAATCCATCCCGAATCACACCTCATCTTACCATGTTTGTCTTTGATCATGAACATACAATCAAAGGGAGTTTTTTTCCAACCAACATGATGTTGTCGAGATGTTACAACAATGCACAAATCAAAGAATATTGATTTATAGTTCATAAGATCTGGTAGTAGCTTGAGTGTTAGAGAAGATCCTATATTTTGAAAGCTTTACCAATTTGGAATCTCATTTCCAGGGAAACAGCCAAGAAACAATGATTCTGACTACTTCTGCCTCTGCACCAAGAAAGTCACTACTTTTTAAGTAGGGCAACAATTAAATTATATAATACCCAAAAAAATAACACTTCAAAACAAGATAGAAAATTATTCCTCAACCTAAAACTACCTTAAAAATAAAGTTAATTTTTACGCGTAAATATATACCTTCGGCTATTATAGCTAGGGGGTGAAAATGTTATTGGACTCACCAAACTCTTCTTTTAAGTACAAATCTACAAATTGTTAAATGTTTTTTAATAACTGAAGTTTTTCGTTTTCCTAAAACATTTACTTTTTTTCAAAATAACATCTACCTACAATAGAAAATTAAAAGATCAATGCTTACCAAAAAAGGAAGAAGAAGAAGAGAAGAATGACAACTAGAACAACTATTATAATAGTATTTTCATTTTTATAATAATTGATAAAATTCTAGTATTTCTTAGCAGGTTATCTAGTGACAAAATTCTTATTTTTTATAGTATTTTTATATTGATGGAAATATTAACCTACGAATTTATATTGGTTATATGCATTTATTTTTAGAATTATAAATATATATTGATATAAGATTCAATCTTTTAAATTTTAAATAGCCTTTTTTACTTGGAACATGGGGTGAAAAGTATTGTCTCCTTTACAATGATTTTTTTGTTTGAGTAATACTACTAATCACAAATACTTATGTCAAATTTCATATCCCAAATGATGTATCATTATATGGGTATTACCAAATCATTTAATGCATCATTATTTTGTGTGCCAATGCCACGTATTTTGACACATCATTTGGGATATGATTGTTGGCATAAATTTTGGGAAGAGTAATATTATTGTTTTTTTCACTTATGAATTTGAAGTTTTTTCTTTAAGTTAGGATGTTGTTTCTAATCTAAAAATAATAAATATCAAATTAGAATTTTGAATAGCACGTTAAAATTACTTTTTACATTTTTTAAATTGTAGATTTAAAAAAAATTAAAGTATATATTATGTAGAGGAGAGAGAAAAATCTATAGAGCTTAGCATGTAATTTCATGGCATTTTCCAGTTCGGCTTTGGGCACATTCCCTTCCAGTTTGGAACAATTGGCAAGGTTGATCTTTGCTCTCCTTAACAAAGGAACATGTAATGCCTCTAATGATGAGCAATTCTGTGCATTCAATATGGAAAGACCTGGAAGCTCTGGCCTCTGGCAAGGATCGAAGCCTCTAGCAATAGTTTACATCCAACTCAACCAAATTTGAAAGTTTTCTGATGCTTGGTGATATGAACTCAATATTGTTTCCACTAAGATATAATTTTCTTAGAATGGATAATGGGCTGAGATTGTCCAATGACTTAATGATTTGGCAATCAGATAGATCTAGAAACTCAAGAGAGTTCAAACCTGATAAAAGAAGCAATACAATTAGAAAGCTATATTCAAATGTGTTCAGCATAATGGCAGTATTATTAGATTTGAGTATGGTCAACTTACAACTGGTGCTAGGAAGACTCTCAAGGCTTTTGTAACCTCGAAGATTGATTATGGCAAGCTTAGTGAGATATTTTTTAGATGAAGAAACTTCAATCAAACTTGTACAACCTTCTAGAATCAAACTCTCAATATTTGGGATCAGTGAGAGGTCTGGGATTCTGGTTAGGAGTTTTGAGTTGCTGAGGTTAACGTGTTTCAATTTATTAGATTCCTACAAGAAAAAAATTAATTAATCAATCATGTATTATAATTTAAAAAAAAAACAAAAAAACAAAAAAAATACTGAAGGTATATATGTACCTGGATAACATTCAAAATTTTAATCTTGCTACATGGCATGACAAGTGAGACAAGATTCTCTAGATCATAAGTTGATGGCAACGGATATCCATACCAACAGAAGTACCTTAGTTCACAAAGGACAAATTCAAGGTCTTCAGAAGGATGCACCTTATTATCAATCTCCCCTTCTTGGCGTAAGTAGCCACCTTTACAGTGTGAGTTAAATAAGTTGCACGATCTATGGCAATAAAAATCCAAGAATCTGAGGTTATGCATGTTTAAGAAAGCATGGGGATGTAACTTGAAATGTTTAGCTTTATCCATGTCCAAACGAATGCATTCAATTGCTCCAGTCCCCTAGTGATCAAGAAGTGACAATAAGTTACCATCCCATATGTAATCTAATCCCTTTCCCAGGGAGCAATCGGATAAAAGCGTACATACATGCAAGAACAACACATAATGCATATTAAAAAAGAAAAATAAAAACTAGGAGAACAAATGTGTATGAAAAGTTAATGAGATGATCTCTCACCATGTTTGTCTTCAATATCTTCATGATGCCATAACCTACTGTGCAATTTTCCTCCCCATTTCTTGTAATAAATCATGCATTATTATCTTGTCATCTTTTGTTAGAGTTATGAGAGATTTATCAATGAGAACACTTACTCCTATGTCTGCACCAAACCCATTATCATCTAGGATTTTCATCACAAAATTCTTATCATCCCCATTAAAGAAACATGCAATATCCAGAAATATTTCTTGTTCTTCATTATCTAGTCCATCGTAACTTATTTTCAGCACATCCTGGATCTGCAAATTTGGATTTCTTTCAAATTTCTTCAATGCAATTTTCCACTCTGAATTTGCCTTGCCAAATAGCAAACCACCCAAAGTTTTAAGAGCTAACGGAATGCCTTTAGCAAAAGTTAATGCCCATTTAGATAGCTCCATGTAACTTGCAGTGCGTTGATTTCGTCTAAAGGCATATCAACTAAAAAGTTCAAGAGCCTTATTATTTGATAATTTCTTAACCTCAAATATGTTATTCTGATTCACTCCACAATTTTTAAGCACTTGCTTATATCTTATTGTTATACCGATACAACTTCCAGAACCAAAACATTCAAGATCTCTAGTAAGTTTTTTTGTTTGCTCTAAACATGTCACATCATCAAAGACAATAAGAATCTTCTTAATGCGAAGCCTACTTTTTGTGATGATGGACTCTAAAATGTCATGTTCATCATCTAATATTGCGAAAAGAGCTCGTTTTCATATTCTTCTCTTACGTTATTTTGGAAGTGGACACTTTCAAATTGACTTGAGATTTTGTCAAATATTTTATGAGCAAAAGTTGTTTTGTCTATACCACTCATTCCTCAAATCCTAACACTACTTTAAACATCTTTTAACCCAAGACGTAATCGTGATTCAATTTCCTCTATTTGTGATTCTACTCCAACAACGTCCTTGTTGTCACTCGGGACATTTGATTCAGTTTTTTGAAAATTTCCTCTATTAATGCAGATTCAGGCCTGGCAAAATATAAAAGAGTTTATTAATAAGTTTAATTAAATCAAAAGAGAAACAATAATGCTCTTTAATTACAATATCTATGTTAACGAAGTTTTTTTTTAATTTAAGTAATTATTAAAATATATAACAGTTGCCTAAAAGTTAGAATCTTTGTTTAATTTCAATTACCTTGCTCGGTGCAAATTCAAATCTAAATTTATATTTTTTTAAGTAAAATTAATGAAATAAAAATAAGTTAAATTATTTTTATTTGCTAATAAAATATAAATAATCTATAACTATTAATTAAAATGTGCAAATGCTTTACAATTGATTATTTAATATGCTTTTACTCCTTACTGACCAAATTCTCCAGGTTCCCAGTTTGGTTTATGGACTAATATTATTGTTTAATTTCTACTAATTTTTTTTTTTTTAATTACAATATCTTACTCCAAGGAAACCTTGCTAATTAAAAGATTGATCAAAGAAAATAATTCTGGAAACTTTGCAAAAGAATTTAGTAATCTTCGGTAAGCGTTGTAAAAATAAATAAATAAATTATTAGTTTTGTAATTTTTTTTTTTTTTTTTAAAGTTCAATTCAATTACCACTCACTCTGTACTAGTTTAACCCCACATTTAAACTTAATTAAATTTATTAAAATTAAAAAGAGTTATATTATGTTATTTACAAAAATATAAACAGATGGGTTTCGATTGGTGCAATACCTTAAAAAAAAAAAAAAAAAAAACATTTTCAGTCCGCTCTTCATTGTCTCATTCCCAGATACATATAAATAATCTATAATATCTTAAATTTTTTGTTCCTTAGGAATTTGTAAAATATTATATTGTAAGAATTTTTTATTTCACATTCAAATATATTACTAGATTTATTTGATTAATTATACATATCAAATATCTAAAATCTATGGATATTTTTGTCAATTCAATATATAATAGATAAATTTATCTATTGAACCAAACTTATGTTCGTTTCAGTTCGACAACTATAAATAAATAAACAGGTTCAATAATATGTGCAACAACAATGAAATTATTAAACAATTACCCAATGTTATTTGAATCAAATCCGAATAGATTAGCTGCTTCTGTCAAAGCATTCCTCCATCTCATCACCTCATTTGAGCTTTAGTTTTCTTCATACCTCACAAATGCTTCTCTAAATATCCCCTTTTGGTTTCTTACATCAGATGGATCCACATGATAGAAAATTGACACTATGATCAAATCTCTCACTTTCTTGCCTTGAATGATTTTTGCAAGTTCTTTAAGGCACCATTTGGATGTGGCATACCCTTTGGAGAATATAATAACCGCAATCTTTGATTCTTCAATTGCATTCAAAAGTGTTTGTGAAATGTGTTAATTTTCTTTGAACACAGAGTTGCATAGAAATGGTTTGTAAAGTTATCACGTGTATCCTCACCTTTAAAACTAAGAAAAATATGATATTTTCATAAACTCTTGAAGAAGAAGAAGAAAAAGAAGATTAAGCCATTAATAAACTTAACACTTGATGAAAGACTCCTCAAACTCTTGAAATGTAAATAATGCAAAAGATGTCAAGAACCCAACTCAAAATTCCAAATTCGCACAAGAAGTTTTATGCAAATTTTGAGTTATTTCTCTATTTTTGTCGCCCGATTTTTATTATAAAGGTTCTCGGTGTATAAAAGGGACTTAATAACTCAATGAAACTTTAAAATATATTATAACTGAGTTTTTACTGTTATAAATGTAAAACTATAAATTTTAGTTAATAGTATTAATATGAAAAAGGCATATTTTATGAAACTTTTTTTTTTTTTCTTAAATAATGGAATGTTGAATGCTAGATTAAAAATAAAAATAAAACATAAAAGTAATCCGAAGATGATTAAATAGTTGAATGGCACTTAACTTTTTGACTTTTGATTAAAAAGAAAGCATGGTGTCTCTTGGCACCGAAAGCTTGCCTCTTTGATGGTAGTCTCTATTTTGGTCATTTGTTTACACCTTGGCAAAGTGATTCTCAAAGCCGACAAATATGAAGAAATAGATATCAACGCGCGAGGCAATGACACGTGGTAGACACCAATTTTTGGTCCACGTTTGATGCATTTAATGAAACTATGGGGGCACTTTGATGAAAATCTGCTTCGTTTCGTGCAATCAGATTTAACGAAACTATAGGGGGACAAAGTATAGTCTTGACAAATTAAATCAGGACCACTTGATTAGGGAGATATTCATTAAGAGATGGAAAGAATAGCGTGAAATTGTTAAGAAGAATTGTGACTTTCTTTTTCTATTATGTACTCCAATTTCTGTAACTAAAATGCTCATTACCAACATCTTCTAGACATAGATTTGTGTTTGATGGCTGAAGAATTCCTTGCACCATCCAAAGTTTAATCTTTGGGAAACAATGCACAATAAGCGAAACATTGTCTCAAGTGTGAGGGGAAATGGTCATAACTCAATTTAAGAGTTGGTAGGATATCACTTTCTTCTTGATCTTGCATAAAGCAAGACCTATATGCTTCATAATTTATTGTAGTCCTGTTGACGCCAAAATCTGCACCAAACATGAGATTACAATCTTGCCTTTTGGTCTGCGATAATCTTCTCGTTCTGCCCCTGGATAGATGTCTCTGAGGTCATCGTCAACTACAGTGTTGCCCGTACAAAGATTAGCAAAGTTCCTGCAAGATTGCAAGGTTAGAACAAAAATCAGAGGCTAATTTAGGTGGTGGTCATGTTTCACTTGGAATGCTCAATAAGAGGATTTTCCATATGAATTATTATATATCATTCTATGCCATTAGCCTCCTTTCTATAGAGAAGTTGAGAGAGTTTTAGGAGAATACTTCCCTTAATGAAATAGGAGATACAGCGTAGAAAAATGAATGTGAGGGTTTTACGAGAATATGGGATCTTATTTCTCTTTGGGATTGGATCTAGACGTTAAAAATGGATGGGCTAGGTGGGTACGGATAAAACGGGTCAAGGTTCTAAATGGGTAATAAATATAAAACCTATATCTAGCCCTTGTGGCTATTTTGTAATATATTCTTCAATACAAAATCAAGTAAAACTAGAAAGAAAGCTATATAATATAAATGGCAAATCAACTTAAAAAACCATTAAAAAAATCGAAGTCAACTAAAAAACCAAATGGAAATTGTTAAAACAAATATACATTATATTAAATTACTAAATGATCACACAAATATAGAGTGATAGATACCACAAATCAAAATTATTTCACT